GAGGCCGGATGGCCGAGAGGTCTAAGGCGCCAGACACAAGAAGACGTCTCGATCGAGATTTCTGGTAAACGAAATTTTTTTTACAAGAGTGTGGGTGGGTTGAAAACCCACTCCTGTCAGAGCAGAAATATCAAAATGATGCATCTCGTGAAATGCAATTTTTTGCAATGACAAAGTTAGTTCTAGTTGATCAAATAACAATTTTAAAAAAAGTTTCCGAAAAAAACTTGTATAGAGAGTTGCAAAAAGTTCGAAAAGACACAATCCATTAAAAAGAGCATTCGTACCATTTTGACAAATGTTTACATGCAATTTCTTTTGTCAGACAACCTTGAGGCACGAAATCCAACTGAACAAATAGATGTTGCATGCAGAAATTTTCCGAAATAGGTCAATGGCTCTTTTTACTAAGTTTTGTCTGTCCGAACTTTTTGCTACTAATTATAACAATATGTCAAATTACATTACGTATTTGAACCATTCAAATTGGCCAAAAAAACAGCAAACAAAGCAAACGGTAATGAACAGTGCAACTCACCAGGCAGAATGGCCGAGCCGTCAGAGGCGCCAGACTCAAAAAGATTCCTCAGTCGAGATTCCTGGTACGCGAATGTGTGCGTGGGTTCGAGTACCGCTCCTCTCAAATGTTTTTAAGCAATGTGAAGTATCTCATGAAGTGAAAACAATGCAAAATCAAAAGCAGTTTTGCTTTTAAAAAAAAAGGGGGGGTAAAAGGACAAGACTTAAGAGCTTTCGATTGAAATCTTTGTTACACAAGAATGTGCGTGGGTTCAAAAACCACCACTAACAGAACAGAAAAATCAAAATGATGCATCTCTTGAAATGCAATTTTTTTGCAAGGACAAAGTTAGTTCTCGTTGATCACTTAACAAAATTGAAAATCAAATTCCAAAATGCTGAAACAAAATGTCAAAACAAATAACGTATTTGAACCATTCAAAATGACAAAAACAATAGCAAACAACCCAAACGGCAATGTACAGTGGAAGTTACCAGGCAGGATGGCCGAGAGGTCTAAGGCGCCAGACACAAGAAGACTTCTCGATCGAGATTTCTGGTACACGAATTTTTTTTACAAGAGTGTGGGTGGGTTGAAAACGCACTCCTGTCAGAGCAGAAATATCAAAAAGATGCATCTCGTGAAATGCAATTTTTTGCAATGACAAAGTTAGTTCTAGTTGATCAATTAAAAATTTTAAAAATAGTTTCCGAAAAAAACTTGTATAGAGAGTTGCAAAAAGTTCGAAAAGACACAATTGATTAAAAAGAGCAATCGTAACATTTTGACAAATTTTTGCAAGCAATTTCTTTTGTCAGACAACCTTGAGGCACGAAATCCAACTGAACAAATAGATGTTGCATGCAGAAATTTTCCGAATTAGGTCAATGGCTCTTTTTAATTAATTTTGTCTGTCCGAACTTTTTGCTACTAATTATAACAATATGTCAAATTACATTACGTATTTGAACCATTCAAATTGGCCAAAAAAAAACCGCAAACAAAGCAAACGGTAATGAACAGTGCAACTCACCAGGCAGAATGGCCGAGCCGTCAGAGGCGCCAGACTCAAAAAGATTTCTCAGTCGAGATTCCTGGTACGCGAATGTGTGCGTGGGTTCGAGTACCGCTTCTCTCAAATGTTTTTAAGTAATGTGAAGTATCTCATGAAGTGAAAACAATGCAAAATCAAAAGCAGTTTTGCTTTTGAAAAACGAGAGGTAAAAGGGCAAGACTTAAGAGCTTTCGATTGAAATCTTTGTTACACAAGAATATGCGTGGGTTCAAAAACCACCACTAACAGAACAGAAAAATCAAAATGATACATCTCTTGAAATGCAATTTTTCTGCAAGGACAAAGTTAGTTCTCGTTGATCACTTAACAAAATTGAAAATCAGATTCCAAAATGCTGAAACAAAGTGTCAAAACAAATAACGTATTTGAACCATTCAAAATGAAAAAAACAATAGCAAACAACCCAAACGGCAATGTACAGTGGAAGTCACCAGGCAGGATGGCCGAGAGGTCTAAGGCGCCAGACACAAGAAGACTTCTCGATCGAGATTTCTGGTACACGAATTTTTTTTTACAAGAGTGTGGGTGGGTTGAAAACGCACTCCTGTCAGAGTAGAAATTTCAAAAAGATGCATCTCGTGAAATGCAATATTTTGCAATGACAAAGTTAGTTCTAGTTGATCAATTAAAAATTTTAAAAGTAGTTTCCGAAAAAAACTTGTATAGAGAGTTGCAAAAAGTTCGAAAAGACACAATTGATTAAAAAGAGCAATCGTAACATTTTGACAAATTTTTGCAAGCAATTTCTTTTGTCGGACAACCTTGAGGCACGAAATCCAACTGAACAAATAGATGTTGCATGCAAAAATTTTCCGAAATAGGTCAATGGCTCTTTTTAATTAATTTTGTCTGCCCGAACTTTTTGCTACTAACTATAACAGTATGTCAAATTACATTACGTATTTGAACCATTCAAATTGGCCAAAAAAACCGCAAACAAAGCAAATGGTAATGAACAGTGCAACTCACCAGGCAGAGTGACCGAGCCGTCAGAGGCGCCAGACTCAAAAAGATTTCTCAGTCTAGATTTCTGTTACGCGAATGTGAGAGTGGGTTCGAGTCCCGCTCCTGTCAGATGTTTTAAAGCAATGTGAAGTATCTCAAGAAAAAAACTATGCTAAATCAAAAGCAATTTTGCTATTGAAAGTCAAGCAGTCTAAAGAACCCGACTTGAAAGCTCTCGATCAAAATTTTTTTTACACAAGAATGTGCATGGGTTCAAAAACCACCACTAACAGAACAGAAAAATCAAAATGATTCATCTCGTGAAATGCAATTTTTGGCAAAGGCAAAGTTAGTTGTCGATGATCAATTAATATTTTTAAAAATGAAATTCCAAAAAATTGAATTAATTTCAAAACAAATTACGTATTTGAACCGTTCAAATGGCAAAAACAACAGCAAAAAACCCAAACGGTAATGTACAGTATAATTTACAAGGCAGTATGGCCGAGCGGTCTACGGCGCCAGACTCAAGAAAACTTCCCACTCGAGATTTCTGGTGCACGAATGTGCGCGTGGATTCAAAACCCACTCCTGTCAGAAGTTTTTAAGCATTGCGAAGTATCTCATGAAGTTGAAAATAATGCAAAATCAAAGGCAGTTTTGCTTTTGAAAGCTAAGCGGTCTAGAGAACCCGACTTAAAAGCTCTCGATCGAAATTTTTGTTACACAAGAATGTGCGTGGGTTCAAAACACGCCCGTGTCAGAACAGAAAAATCAAAATGATGCATCTGGTGAAATGCATTTTTTCGCAATGACAAAGTTAGTTGTCAATGATCAATTAATAATTTTAAAACTGAAATTCCATTCAAAATAGCAAAAACAACAGCAAACAACCCAAACGGTAATGTACAGTGCAAGTTACCAGGCAGGATGGCATAGCGGTCTCAATCGAGCTTACTGGTACACAAATGTGTGCGTGGGTACGTATCCCACTCCTGTCAGAAAGCAGCATAGCGGTCTCAATCGAGCTTTCTGATACACAAATGTGTGCGTGGGTACAAATCCCACTCCTGTCAGATGTTTTTAATCTTTGTGACTATCTCATAAGTTAAAAACAATGCAAAATCAAAGGCAGTTTTGCTTTTGAAAGCCAAGCGGTCTTGAAAACCCGACTTAAGAGCTCTCGATCGGAATTTTTGTTACACAAGAGTCTTCGTGGGTTCAACGTTCACATCTGTCAGAACAGAAAACTCAAAATGATGCATCTCGTGGAACGCAGTTTTTTCCAATGACAAAAAAAGTTCTTGATGATCAATTAATAATTTTGAAAAAGAAATTCCAAAAAATTGAAACAATATGTCAAAACAAATTACGTTTTGAACCATTCAAAAAACGAAAAGGAACATCAGACAACGGAAACGGTAAAGTACAGGTCAAGTCACCAGGCAGGATGGCCGAGCGGTCTAAGGCGCCAGACACAAGAAGACTTCTCAATCGAGATTTCTGAGACACGAATGTGTGCGTGGGTACGAATCCCATTCCTGTCCGATTTTTTTTTAATCATTGTGAAGTATGTCATTAACTGAAAACAATCCAAAACCAAAAGCAGTTTTGCTTTTGAAAGACGAGCGGTCGAAAGCACCCGACTTAAGAGCTCTCAATCGAAAATTTTGTTACACTGCCTGGTGACTTGAACTGTTTTTTACCGTTTCCGTTGTTTGATGTTCCTTTTGCTATACTGAAAATATGTAATTTGTTTTGACATATTGTGTGGGTGGGCTTGCATGTAACTCTTGTTAAATAGAAACGTAGTCAAACCTTCAATGAGTTTGGATTCAAATGATTCAATCTTTTCAAATGAAATATCCCAAAACAAAATTGCACCTTCTAACTAGTTTCAATACCAATTTTTCAACATGTTTTATTCCCAAGATGGCGAAAACTAAGTCTATAATAAGCCTGTTCGCTTGCTTTTTGGGCTCGAAAATAGACAACGTCAAAAATTTCAAACTGCTCGACACTTTTTTTGGACACAAGTCATTCAATCACGAATGGAAAAGCTTTAAAATGTTATACCATTTGACCTATTCCGATTAGCATTTGTGTAACCTCATTTTGCGATGAAAACAAAAGAAATCTAACCCATCACAAAAGTTCCTCCGAATTTCCAGTTGTCGGAACCAACACTTGCATGAATACAAGACTTCAACCGAATACAAGACTTCAACAGAGCTTTAAAACACTAACTATTATCACTGCAGCAACAATGAGTTCACCTGACAGTTCATAGGATTACAAATAGATTAGATTAAAACCTTGTTCCCTTTTATAAGACACTTGCTATCGCAAGTGTATTAATTTAAAGGATTTAGTTGGTTAAACAATTTTTGCCCAATCGGTCACTCTGTCTTGAACATACCCCCTGGCCCCCTGGAATGTAGGGGGGACTAGCTAGCTGACCTTTTTCTCGATGGAGTCGTCAGTATGGAAGATGAGTTGCAAACTGTGAGACTCTGAGGTGTATGCACTGGGCTTCTCGTCCCCACAGAAACTGCCGTCGGGGGGACTGCTGTCGGTGAGACTACTCTTTACCATCATGTAGTCATACTTGCACTGAGTAGTTCCCTCCAGCTGAAAAAATTCAATATGGATACAAGCAGCAGCATATTCCGCAGCCTCTCTCCAATGATTTATCGCCCCACCGCCAAAATTTCTGTTTGTTACAACTATATTTGTTGCCTCTTGTTGCAGACTAGTAAGGTGTCTATCAAGTATCAAGGAGAACGTCTATTTTTTTCTTCAAGCACCCTTAGTTGTTTCTTAATTTTTTGTTCGGTGATTGTTGGATTGGTTTAAAGCCTGAAAAAACACAATCGTCATAATTGCCAGAGAAAAAAAAACACATAACTTGGCAGGAGCAACTTGTTTATGAAAACTTCGGGCTAAAATTTCAATTTTGTTCTAAAATGAGCTCAAAATGATTATCATCACTATCGAAAAATTTGAAAGGGAATGCGAGATGCTACATTTCCATCTTATCTTTTGTAATATGTAAATTTTTGTTCCGACCATTCGTAATTTGTGGAGGAACTTTGTATTCGGGTGTTTTAATTTTTTTTTGTTATTTTTTTGTTCCGACCGTTTGGAAAATGGAGAGGATCTTTGTATTCGGGTGTGTTTTAGTTTTTTCTTTATTAATTTTTTTTCTTGTTCCGACTATTTGAAATATGGCGAGGTACTTTGAATTCATGTGTGTTTTAGCTATTTAGCTTTTTTTCTATTTTTTGATTTCCACGCAAAATCAGCTGCCACAAATAATCATCGGAGAGAACTAAGTGATATATCATTTTCCAGCCCTTTCAATCGTGATTCGAACTACATTAAAAAATCTAAAAATGTTCCCGGTGTCGAGAAAAACCTGTTTGAAAACTTTCATTTTCGTCTAATTTCGAGTGAGCGAGCAGGCTTACAATAGATTATTTTAATAGTTAAAAAGCTGATAATTGCTTAACTTAAGCGGTTAAACGTAGGTTTAATCGGCTAACATTTGCCTCTTTTGACTATTTTAGCTCAGTTTTTTTTTGTTTTCCTAGTCATTTTTCTATAAAAATTGTTTTCCAATTCGCTTATTTCAGCATGACTGTCCAATATGCCTAAGCCCTAGTTTTTTCCTTCAAATCCTTTCATCACACCACAAAGAAAAAACGAGTATAATTTGAAATTACTTTTTTGTTCTATTTTTAAAGACTATGGTCGGAACATTCTGTGCCACCTGCACAGTAGCCGGATATCCTTGTTTATTTTTGTTTTCCACGCAAAATCAGGTACCACAAATAATCATCGGAGTTGTTCGAGTGATATATCATATTAAAACCCTTTCAGTCGTGATTCAAACGACATTAAAAAATTTGAAACTAATTTCTCAAAGTCGAGAAAAACTAAAAAAATTGAAATTTGTTTTGGTCTAATTTCAAGCTAACAAGGTGAGACTAAGCAGGCTTATAAATGCTTATTTCTGCTTAATTTAGCTGTGAAAGATTAGTTTTACTGGAGTTGTTAGTTTTTGGTGTTTTAAAAGCCAATTTAGGATTCAAAAACTTCAAAATTCCGTTACGAGTCCAAACTGTGGACTGCATAGACGCACGATTTGGTGTTTTAGGTCTATGGAATCCAGAGACAATATTTTAAACATGCTTAAATTTAGTTGAAATACTCAAAGAAAATGAAAGAACAAAAGAAGAACAAAAGGAGCGTCCTTGCTGCAGAATCCGCTAACTGTTCACAAAATACACAGTTTAGCCTCGTAATGTCAAAAACTTTCTGCCAAAAAAAATGGAAAAATTTTTTTGAATTTTTATAACAATTTTTTATTGTTTTTTTTGTCATTTTTCTACAAATACTGTTTTCCAATCGGCCTATTTTACTATGAATGTCGAATATGCCTAAGTTATTTATTTTTTTCGTCCAGAATTTTTATCAGACCACGCACAAAAAACAATTTTTGTGTGTTTTTTAGGACTATGGTCGGAACCTTCTGTGCTACTTGCACAGTAACCGGCTATCCGTGTTTGTAGTATGTATATTTTTTTGTAAATTTAATACAACTCACTTGAAACTCCTCAAACTCGATTGTAATTTTGTAATGAGCAGGCGCCATCAAGTTCCATATGCAGTGCTTATTATTTGGATACATGTTTGGGAATCCAGGCGAGCTGATAGTTCCACTTGGAATACACTTCTCGCCCGGAGCACCAAGCGGGTTCGTTTCGTCGCCACACTTCTCGTTAACGAGAATGTAGCCGCCACAAGCCGACTCGCATGTTTTCCCGTCGGGTCCGAGTTGGAATCCGATGTTGCACTCGCACTGGTAGCTACCGACCGTGTCAACGCATGTGTGCATGCATCCTCCATTGTTTTCCATACACTCGTTTACTTCGGGGAAAAACTCGAGTGAGAAGCCACCTTGAAAAAAAAAACAAGTTAAACTTTTCCACAGTCCAGAAAAATTGCATGTAGATTTAAACTCTAATATAACATATAAGAACATAATATCATTAGGTTTGCACTATCAGGCTTTAAAAGCTCATTCTGATTTTGCTTTGTCCGTCATTAATAAATGCCAAATAATTTAACAGAATAACAACTTGTTGAACTTATTTTCAGATCAAAGGTCCAATCTATTTCACAATCTCTTACTTCTGTTCAATTTGGAGATAAACTCATAAGAGATTCCATCTCGGCAAAATAAGAGTAAAAACAAACAGAGGTAAAAGGAGTTCAAAAACTCCATTCTGAAGGCAAGTGTAGGTAAAATACTAGCTAATACTCGTTGCTGGGCAAAAAATAAAGACTTTCTCGACCACTACCACTGCAAATCGTTCTTTTATTTATATTTTTCTTCGAAACAATGGATTAATTTTAGCAAAAAATATGACATCATAACTCTTCAACTTACAAAATACATGTGGTAAGGAAAATCTCGGCTATTTCCCAATATACTAGCTCTTTAGAGAGAAAATGGTTTCGTCGGATCTTTTCGGTTGTTTACCTTTACACTTTTTCCCCGTTCACACAATGGACAGTTTAGTAGGGATGGTAATTATCAATTCTGACATGCTCAAATTCAATTAAAACTAAATATTTTAAATAGTAAGTAGCTAAAGGCTGTTCTAGGTTGTAAATTATCATTTTTTTAAAATCTCAAATTTTTTCGGGTTCGTGGCTTTCGTCCAAGTTTCTGTCGGTTCATTTTCCGTTTTTTTAAATGCACATTTTTAAATCCCTGGTAGCTTTATCGTAACTTACTTTTTAAAGCAACTTTTTGTTCCAATTAAAACAGATTTTTACCATAACTGAAAATTCAGTAATTTGTTAATTTAGCAAGTCTGGTTATTCTTTTTTTCATTTTTTTGGTTTTTCTAGAAACTTAAGCAGGTTGTTATTTCGGCTAAGTCAGCTTATATTACATAATTTCGAGGGCAAAATGCATTCGTATGTGACTATGTGCTTCAGTATGGATGGGTCGTAAAAACTTTTAAATTTTAGAAAACTTTTTATAACAATAGTTTTGTGTTCGGCTCAACAGGTTTCGGCCCAAAATTTGTCGCTTTTGTTGCCGCTTGGTGCATGAGTTCCAATTGTTTTTAAGGCTGTTTAGGAATTTCAAACGATACAACCATGAAGTTTTGTAGCTGTAGTTTTCCCAAGCTATATTTTCAAGTAACTTTTTCACTTAATTTTTGCAGAATTTTTTTTTGACTTTTTTTTGCACTGACTATATGGTAGAGCTATGTTTAGCGCACTTCGAATTTTTCAAGCTAGTTCAAAACTGGTTGTTGTGTTTTGCCCCAAGTTTTCATCAAAATAAGTTTCAGTTTGAAACAAACACTTGAAAATTTCGGGTGTTGTTTTTTTGGCGTTTTGTCAATTTTCTCAATTCGGTGGTTTTGTGCATCGCAAGTGCTGCAAAGTTTTCCTATTATGAAACCGGCAATTAGCTTCTCGTGAGACTTTTCAAAGAATATTTTGAACAATTCAAAAAAAAATATGACAAAATATTCAAGAGCAGAATGGAACTTTGTTGCTTCTGCCAGTCTTATAAAACACAATTTTGACTTATAAATCTTGTTATATCCAATAGTGATCAGAATTTTAAAAAATTGGATCTCTTCATCTGTTTCCCATTATGGTACCTAGTAACAAATCTGCAATGGGGGGAAATACTTAAAGAGATCCAAAAAATCAAAACAGACAAAACTAGATGGAACGACTTGAATCTATATGAAGATAACTCTTTTTTCAAGAATTACAGCAAGCACTGAAACCTTAGAACTTGGTCTGTTTATTCAACATTCGATATCAGAAAAACAAACTGGAGATTATCCATTTAGTTTATCTTAATCTGGGTACCAGACTTAAGCCGAACTGAAAAGTGACATTAGGTCATGTCTAGCAGGATATATATTTCTGAAGGGACAAAGGTTACATTCTGAAACTTAATTCAGGATCTTTTACAAGTTGGCGTTTTAAAAAGCCGAGCTCCTTAAAAACAAAAAATACTATGATCTAGACATAACCTGAGACACGTAGTCTTAAAGAAAAACTGGGGTTTTTGACCAACAAACTGAAAATTTTTGGAGCGCGGAACCGCTTCGTGCTAAATTGCATTTCATTGAAGTCATTTTTAACGCCAATCTGAAAATCGGAATTCCACTACTTTAAATTGTTACAACTTGTAAACACAGTGCTATGAGCACGTAATCTCAAAAAGATATACTGAAACAAACAAAATTTAAAAAGGGTCAGATTTAGGGGGGGGGGGGGGGGGCTTTTCTTTCAAGAATTCGACGCCTTGACCAACCAAAAGGTCCCCCTTTAGTGCTATTTTACGACAGCCACTTCCGGTCGACCGACCCTAAGGGCATTTTTGGCTAATTTTGATGCAGAACGCGCGCCAAAAAATTGCATAATTGCATTTATTGTCAAAACCTTCCAAAAAGTGCTCAAAAACTACCCAGTTCTTTCAAAAACATGCCTGCGGATATGTAACACTCAATTTTGAAGAATGCCATGAGATTAAGTTAGAAATGAAAGTTTTTGGGAGAAAATAACGAACAGATTTGTCAGTTTAAACACATTTGTTGAAAAAAAATTCTACGCTGATTCAGCCACTCGAAAAAAATTTCCTAGTGAATGTGAAAAAATTGAATAAAATTGAACAATAAGCCATCAATAAAATACCTCTTTTCTATGAATCAAAATTAGAGTTTCCTGGTTAACTTCGGGAGTAATTTTTTATTCACACTTACCAGGAAACTCAAGTCTAGAAATGAACAAAATGCAAATTAATTACTGAAATGTGCACAGATTTGCTCACAACTCTTCCGGTTAGGCAAAACTGGTTTTGGCTATACTGACCTTTGTTAATGGAGCTATCCGACTTGAAAATGATTTCTAGTTCCCTTCCTTGCGACCTCACAGGCGCCGGCAATTCCTGCCCGCAAAACTGGAGACTGTTCGTTGCTCCTGCCACACCATGTATGTCCAAGAAGTCATACTTGCAGTCATCTTGGTACTCGATGTCGAAACTGATGAACCTCAGTCCAATTCGCTTGTCGTAGTCGCTGACTATTCGCCATTTGCACTCTTTGCTGTTCTTGTAGTTGTCGGGGAAGTTCGGAGATTGAATGGTGCCGTTTGAAGCGACGATTGTACCTCCGCAGATTGAGTAGTAACCCGCTTTGAAGCCACGCCGTTTGCGATAGGGAGCCTCGATTATGTGGTGAGATGTCTGCATTGGAAAACGCGGCAATCACAAAATTGTCTTAAAAAATTATTCCTCAAAGTATTCAGCAGAACACTCTTTCTTAAATGAGCGTTCTGCAGATTTATGACAGTTCCTCATATTTTGAACTTGAATAACCAAAACCTTTAAACTGATGTTTTCAGACAAAATTTTAAAATTTTACTTGCAAAACTGATTACTCTATCGCCAATGTTGTTGCATATATGTGCATATTAATAAGGTCTTGCCTTGAATTTGATCCAGAGACGATCACCTGAGCTCTTCAGAAAATAGTCTGGAAAAGGTCGTTTGTCACAGTACCTTCCGAGCAGCCTCGAGTTATGATAATGACCATCTCTAATTTCAAGGTACTCATACTCGCAAGAACTGTCCGCTCTCAGGTCAAAATCCGAAATATTTAGACCAATTTTTTCACCCGAGGTGACCGAAATCCTCCACTCACAGTCGAGATGATCATCGTATGCTTCGGGATACCTTGGCGATGTGAAAACACCTTCAGATTCCAACAGACTGCGACCGCATAACTTGCACCCGTAGAGTTTCTTCGTCTGACGAATATCTCCTTCACTTAAGCCCTGACGCTGTCCAATATTTCTCGGTTTCCCTGTCAGACGGTCCGAAGTCTCGATTGTCGGCAAGTATCCATTTTTAGAAAACGTATTAGCCGAGTAGTGCATTATGCTTCCGTAATCATACGGTTCACCAAGCGAATCGATTGCATCTTTTTTGAGCTTCTCGAAATTATATTGTTGACCTTCCATGATGTTTTCATATTTGACCGTTATGTAGAGATCCCGATCTGGTCGAGTATGTTCGTGCCAGAAACCGACAACGTGACCTAACTCGTGAACAACAACTCCAAACTTGTCGCAGTTTTTACCGACTGACACGGCTTGGGACCCGTCGCCTTTTCTGCCGACGTACGAGCAGCACCCACACGAACGATGCGTGAACACGATATAATCGGGTTCCGAGGTTCGTTTTACGAATGTAATACACGTATGATTTTCCCAATGACGCATCGCTTGCTTAAACATAGCACGCTGTTCGCCTGTGAAATTTCCTTCGATTACATAAGGGATAATTCCATTCGGCCAAAGTCGTTCCTTCAACGAGGTGGCAGCTCGGCGTGAACGACTTAGAGTCGGCTCCTCGTCATTACGTAACACATCGTCATTTTGTAACTCTTCGATATTTGGATCGTCTCCAATGTATTCGGAGCTTACGCTCGGCAGCACGTCATTTGATTCGGAATAAATTACCTTCTCGGTCAGCGGATTTCGGATTAAAGAGCTTCGGGAATTATTTTGTCGCAGCCTCGCGTCAGAATTTTTGGTCACATTGACGTTAGAAGTTTGATTAAAACTAGACAGACTTGACGTGTGATTAAAATGTGTCCTGGTGTTCGGACTTCCGTCTTGCATGTGAAAGGGACTTTTATCCATTGTGACATTCTGAGGGGTCAAAGTTCGCTCGAAAAAGAGGTCAAACTCGTTATCTGTGAGAGGTATGTCGCCGATATAGCTTGAAGCTTTGCAGGGGTCGTGTTTTAGCTTTATAGTTTCGCCATTGTCAAGTAAAATAAAATCGCTGTCTTTTTCCCAAGTTGAGTGATCGATCACAATTTTACCTCGAATATTTTGAGGTAAAGTGAATAAAAAAGTGGAAAAAATAAGAATTAAACTGCAGTTTTTGGGAAAAGTGTGAATTTTGGTCGACTTCATAATTTTCATGTTTTTAATGTACAAGTGAGATTATGGGAAGCGGAAAGGTAATAAAAGAGTGCAGGTTAGTCGAATATTAAATAAATCTGAGGGTCTTAAAAAGCAAATCTAGACCGGCAGTGAATGATTTTAGTTTCAAGTAAACGTAAAAATGTCTTTGGTTGTTTAAACACGTCGTAAATTGCAATCAATGATTATTCTGTTAAAAACAAGTCATAGCTAAGTTTTGGCTCATTTTGACGCTTAAATTGATGTTTTCAATTATAGTAAGTTTTGTGAGACATTTTGTATAATGAGATAAACAGAAGAAAAGAGAGGATACTATCTCAAAACACGGGCGCTTCTGTTTAAAAACAAATACAACCTACAGTCGAGAGATTGGTAGAAGTAAAGACGTTTTATGTCAAGCTTAGAGTTCGAAGTACTCAAAGGAAATCTCAGGAATAAGACAGGAAAAGTTAGTTTCAGAACTCGCAACAATACAAAAGCATACAAGTATTAATGCACAAAAGGTATTAGTGTAAATAGCCAATTTAATGTATGACAGGCCTTGTTAAATCTGAAACCCTTCTCAAAGTGTTTTTGGGTTCGAGTGTGATTGAAATTGCTACATGGGAAAAGTTGTTGGGAAAATGAAAATAGCCAAACGTTGCATGACTTTCAATGAATTCCAATGACTGCTACGATTTAATCTTCGGTACAAACCAATGAAAGGTGTTTTGCACAGGTGAAACCATTTGTCACGTTATACCTACACCTCTTCACTCGGCCCAGAAATTATGTGAATATTTTTAGAAAACCTCTTAAATGGGGTATTTGAAAATTCAACTTCCAGACTTTCTGGAAAAAAAAATCTGAAATGATTGATTTATATTCTGCTAAATTAATTCTACTTAAACTCGCTTTTCAGTTATTTGAAACTTGCAATTTTTCGAGCAGAAAACACTAGGTTAAAAATTTCTAACAAAAATGTTTTTCTTCAGTTGCATGTACAAATCAGAGCGTTGCCGAAAACTTTAGAAACATTCTAAATTTTGATCATTTTTGAATGGAGTGAAAAATCGGAGTGCTTAGTACTTCTGCCTATTTATTTCAAATGATTCCATATCAAATTCGCACTACAAATTGCAAGCGAAAGGATTAATAGGAAAGATTTCCTAAAAAGGGTTCAATTTCTAAAAGATCCGACCACCACTGGGTTAGGATCAAGATCATACGGAGACTGCTCTAGTCAATGTTTTGCCCAGATTAGCCTAAGCTCCCCTTTTGAAATACAAAGAGAGACTAAATAAAAGAGTGAGATAGAGAACTAATTTGAGAGGTTCAACTGGTTTGGTACTTGGTGCTAACTTTTGGAGCTGTTTTGCTCCACAGCTGTAACTCAACAGGTGATTGTTAAAGAAGGGTTATGGACTGATCGTCAAAACTAAGCCACAATTTGAGGACATCTGCAAACAATGTGCAATTAAATTTGAATATTTCGAGTTAAATGTCGTTACAAATACATTTTTCTTGCGAATGATGATAAAATTGTGTATAAAAAACAGGTTTGAAAAATTACTTCCGAAAAGAAAAGGTAGTTTTTTACAACAAAAACATTAATTAACACTGATTTTTATATCTTGACTATTTTTTTTGCATTTAGTTCTTTATTAAAAATGTGTTTCTTCATTTTCTGTATTTTTGCATTTAATTGTCTGAAGACATAAATTCTTCTTCTTCTTCTTTTAATCCCTGCGGAAACAGATTTCCGAATTCATGAGAAACAAAACTCGGAGTCTGATTCGTGATACCGCGAGCGAAAAATTACACAGCGCGCTCAGACACTCACAGCAAGTACTGGTTATCCATTGGAACCAATCAGAATCAAATAAAGACTTCAAGCTGCAGGCAAGTTATCCCCCAAAAGGGAAAAAGGGATCATACGCTTCATAAGCTGAAAATGCGTGCTTTGTTCTCGTCACAGAAGGTCCTAATAACAGAAATCTTTAAGCCAAACAAACTCTTAAGTCGCTTAAAACTCTGAATGATTTGCCATACAAGCTTTCATATTTTAAAACTCGATTCTGGTGAGCTTATTGTACATTTCCGCCTTTCGGTCATTCTGTTATGAGGGATTCCCGTGAAAAGCTAATAGGTTCAATCATGCACTTTACTAACTAGCCAATTTCAGCAATTTATTTGCAATGTATTATCAAACATTACTATATAAATTGGGCTAAAAAACAACTCAGCTGTCCTTTTCGTAAAACTGTCGACTAGTTGGCCACACAACTCAATGACAAGGACCTGTTTATGAATGTTAATCTTATCTTAATTGCAAATCTACCTGTGCCACTTACCAGACGGTTCAACTCAATTTCACAGACATGGTTCTTCTCATTAAACTCTTGTTTTCTTTGATTAGATAACACACCTTCTTGTATTGCCAAAACTGGAGCCAAAATGTAAACAGATATAAACTACATTGGGTACTTAATAATATCTGAATAAAATTATTTTAAAATAATATTTTTGAGTATCTCTTGTGTACAAAATTGATAATTAATTTCTTTTAAAATATGAAACTAACTTCAAAAACTGACTAAAAGACAGTTCAACTCTGATTCGAATAATTTCGAATATCGAATAGGATTTACGCCACAGAAAAGTCTAGACAAATAACTGAGTTGAAGATCATATTTGAAAAAGGTCAATGATCGAAAAACAACTTTTAAAATGACATGTGAATCATATTTCAATTGTCTTCGTGATAGATTTTATTTCACCTTTACGATATAAGCAGCCCATCTATAAAGGAACAGTAAGCGATTTATAAACACATAAGCAGTGAAAGGTAATACCTCACTAATTGACGAATGCTAAAAAATAGTGAAACTATTAGACATAATTTTATCATGTGACTAACCTGTGACAGGTCGGGTGCCATGACAACCTGGGCCATCTGTTGGTCAGCACACCCGTTGAACAGAACCCGCAGTCTAAGGGGCGTGGCCTCTGCATACTTGTTCACGGGGGCAGGAGGGGCTCTGGTGGGTGGGGCATCGCACATGAGGAAGGCAGTGATTGGCCACTTCAGACCCTGAACAAGATGAGAATTTTTCTAATTAAACAATCTGCCCCCTCATTGAAGAATTTAGCCTGGCAAATTTTCAAATTTTGAGTGATACTGATTTTAAAGTCCTTTTGATTTTTGAGTGAAACTTCCCACTGTTTTTGTATGTTCTTTCCTAAAGAAAACATCAACTTAAAGTATCGCCATCCATTTTAGTTTTCCTCATTACTAATTTCGTTTTTCAGAAATAACTCAACCTTTATGAAGTCTCCGTTCATGTCGACTGGCCACGTGAGTGCTCTCTTGGCCCACTCTGGGTTCTCAATCCGACATTTGCGATATTCCTCAATTCCACGGAACGGCTCCTGCTTAAGTCCAAACCTGTACAAAGGAAACAAGGATAGCTGGTTCCAAAGCCAACCACATTCATAAAAAGCTACAAAAAAGTTTTTTAATATTTTTTCATCACACAATTATCGGATTTTGTGCGTGGTATGATGGGGAAAAATATACAAACGCGTAGAACTTAAGTGAACTACGCATAATCAACTACAGCTGTCTTCAAAAAACAATTAGTTAACAGTTAAATTGAAAAAAAAAATAAAACATTTGTTCTCAATAATTCTTAAAACTTTTAGAAAACTTTTGTTGCCAAGAAAGCGATGAATGAAGCTTCCGAAATTATTGTTCATTTAGCAAAATTAAATTGATTTAGCCAAATGACTAATTTTCATATAACGAACGTTTTTCCATTGCTTCAATCGCTCGAAATTAGACTACAACTCGAAAAATTTCAGAGCAGTTTTTCTCGACACTGGAATAATTTTTTGATATTTTTTATTTTTTCATGTCGTTTGAATCAAGACTGGAAGAATTTGAAAAAATGATTTTAGTAATACTTGATTTTACATGGAAATAAATAAACTGAAAAAAAAACTAAAACACCCGAATACAAAGTTCTTACCCATTTTCAATGGTCAGAACAACAAACTTGACCAGAGGGAAGGAAGGCACAACACTGTTTCCCTCACAAAATCTTTCCGCACAAAAAAAAACTACAAAAATAGTGCCAAATTGATTTTCCAGAATTTTTCTGTTTTGGTTTATTTTATTAATTTTTCTATATATTTTAATAACAAACGCTTCAAAAATACACAAAGTAAAAGTTCAATCCTTCAAATTAGAAGGCTGTTGCTTCTATTCGAAAAAAAACTGATGTTGCTTAATTTTAAAATAAAAAGCAAGAAATAAACCAAAAAAAGGAAAAATCAAAACATAGCCAACAGACAGTTGGAAAAGTCAATGAACGCAAGTAAAAACAAATACTTTAACATTCAAATTTCGAAAAAAAAAATAGATTGCCTGAAAGTTCATTAAAATTTTAGAACCATTAATGATCGACATTTTTTTGATATAATCAACCCAATTTGACAAAAACTGGATCAATAGTTAAAATTTTTTATTTCGCTGAGAAATCTGATAATGAAGTTCTATTTTTTAAAAAAGATTTCAATCACGTTTTTCGTCAACTTTAAACTTTCGCTGTTCGACATTTGAGTTTTCGTTTTAATCATGGAAATAAACTGAGCTTAAAAAAATTGAAAGTCAAACAGGCAAAAAGTTAATTTGGAGCCTGAACAAATTCCAGGACTTTTATGAAAAAAAAACAAAAAAAATCATCACGACCTATGTGAGATTCTGAACTACGGTCATCGACTCTTAATAAAAACATATAGCAAATAAAACCATTTGAACCTAGTAGGCATTATAATCTATCTCATGGCTTCAGTATCTTGGGGATCGTACAGCAAATTTCATCAAACAGTATTATTTCGATGAATTTTTTACGTAGGATAGTTGAATGGCCGTATAAGACTACGTTCGCATTTTCACTTGATTAAAAAAAAAACACTCAAACTGTTGGTCGCTTTGCATAAAAACAGAGACATTTCCTTTTTAATGTGTGCTTGAACAAAATTGGCTTCAAAGCATATGTTCTACTAAGCCTTTCCTCTAGGTCCTTTCGGCATTGCTCTCAAATGAATGAAATAAGTAAACACTGACTGAAACAGAGGTAAAACTACACATTGGATGAAAAAAGAATGCTAGTTGAGAAACATAGCCAAAAGCAGTTGTAACAGTATCAATGAAGTCAAGAACAGCGACCAAATTTTTGAAAACAGTTAAAAAAAACAAATTTGACCTTTGAAACCTTTTGAATTTTGAAAACAGTTTTTTGACAAAGATAAGCAAAATGGAGAAAATTAATTCTAACGGTATTTTTTATATTGCTGGAAATCTAAAAATTCGTGTGTATTTTTGAAGCAAGGTCTTTCAAAGTTTTTCAGGCCATTTTTCGTTTATGAAGAGAAAAACTTGTCTTTCTTCGAGTAAAAGAAGCCATCGAATTGAAGTTAAAAAAAGTTAAGCGTCAAATCGAATATTATCAATTTTGGGCGAGTAGAAACTATGAGACTATTTTCTAGAAAAAATAAATCACCTTGAATCTAAGGAAAATGAATCACCTTGAAGCACTTTAAAATTGGGAAAACTTTTTAATCAACCCTTCTTAGATAAAAGAAACGAAGTTTGAAAAAACAGGATCAAATATAGCCAAAATTGTCAACTAAATCAATGGACCGGACACAACCAGTGCACTTTTTTGAAAAAATTTTAATTTTCGATTTTTAAGCAAACATATCTCATTATGACTCTTTTAATTTCCGAACATTTTATGATTGAAACTCTTGGGTGATCTAGTTTTCTCAAAACCAATTCAATTTGAGAAAACTGGGTCAAAAGTTAACCCACCTTTATAGCACAGAATGTTCCAAAGGTAGTCTTAAAAAGTTTTTTCTAATTAGTGTTGTTGGAGCTGAAAAGAAAATTAAGATTAGGCAAAATTGACAGTCAAAGTAAAATAAGCAAATTGAAAAACTGTTATTATCGAAAAATGACTAGAAAACCAAAAAAAAATTATTTGTTTTTTCAAATTTTTTCCAAGATTTTTTTCAATTTTTGAAGATTTTAATCCAAAAATGGCGCTAAAAACAACAAAAGCAATTTCAATCGAGTAAAACTAGGTTTTCACTGTTTCAAAAGCATTTTTCTCAACAAGCATAGATAATCTATTGCAAGTCTGCTCGCACCATTATTCGCTCGAATTTAGACTAAACATCAAAAATTTTCAACCTGTTTTTCTCAAGACTGGGTCAAATATTGGAAAAATTTCAAAATTTGTTCAAATCAGGACTGAAAGGGATTTAACACGATATATCACTCAACTCTCTCCGATGATTATTTGTTATAGCTGATTTTGCGTAGAAACAGAAAAAAAACATCCGAATACAAAGTTCCTCCCCTTTTTACAAATAGCAAAACAACAAATCGTTCAAAGGTTTTATAGTTGTGAAATTTAGTCGAAATCCAAAAAGGCCTTAAAATACTCAAAAAAACTATTATCACTCGAGTAAAATTACTTTTTTTGTTTTAAATTAAGCTATTGTGAGCTTTCAAACCATCAAAATAAGCTATTATAAGCCTGCTCGCTCGATTTATTCGCTCGAATTAAGACGGAAAACCAAAAACTTCAAACCGGTTTTTCGCGACACTGGAAAAAACTTTTGAGATTTTTTAAGTCGTTCGAATCACGACTGTAAGGGCTTTAATGTGATATATCACTCAACTCTCCGATGATTATCTGTGGTAGCTGATTTTGCGTGCAAAACAAAACATAACAAGACATAAAAAAGAAAAAACTAAAACACACCCAAATACAAAAGTTCTCCCCATTTTTCAAATGATCGGAACAAGAAACCGTTCAAAGCTTTTATAATTGAAAAAATCAGTTGAATTCGGTTTCAAATACCATCTATTTCAGAACAGAGCCTATTATTTTATTTTAAAATAGTATCAAGAAAAATAACGTGTTTGCGAGGTAAATTCTTTGACCCTGAACAAACGTAGTTCTAATCAATTTTTAGAAGGTTGCAAGGTTGCATTTTTTTTGGGGAGTAGACACATGTCAATTTTTGAAGTCCTTTAAGCTGTGATTCGCATTTCTTGTAAAAACAAAAAGTCGTCTCGTTAATGAGAATAATTATTCCGCATATTATAACAATTCATACTAATCTACAGGTACACTGATTAGAAAGTTGATTAAAGATAGACGTGGTTCTCGGAATGTAAAATGCTCTCTGAATAGAGCTGTATGATAAATTAAGTCCCATAGAGTTCCATTGGAAATTGGGTGATATATTACAATAGGTGGCAGGTTCAATTTCAATAGCTGGATCGCTTGTTGTTATACTTTGCACATTATTAAATTAAATTTTTTCAAAAGCCAAATTTTTTGCCAAGAGTTGTAAAAATTCAAATTTTTAAATAGCATTTCATTTGGTAGAGTAACGTATTTACAAAAAAAATATTTTAGTAGTAGAACAATAGATAGATTGAAAATGAAAAGAATATGTTATGCTTGTATACATTAATTCGAGTTTTTGATTAGCATTTCATTTGGCAGAGTAACTTATTTACAGTAACTTATTTACAAAAAGTAAAACAAAAGATTGAAAATGAAATGACTATATTATGCATATAGGCATTTTGTATAAATAGTTCTGAAACTTAATACATGCACTATATTCAAAATTACCACCAATTGTGACATAGCACCGGCAGTTGAATGTCAATTCACTGACTAAGCATGACACGAAACAGCCAAAATTTTCGAAAAAATATTTTTTTACGTTTTTTGCAGTGCTACTGTGGTCGCACAATTCTGCGCTAATTGCTCAATTAAAAGTTAACCTGTTTTTAGTTGTTCATGTTATGAAATTTGCCAATTCAAAAACTGACCTTCAGAAGAGATGAAATACGATATTGTACTATTGTACCATTTTTGTAGGTATTTGTACTTCCTATCCGCCTGGGCGATGTACTTTTTACTGCATACAGTATGTCACGGGGGTTCATCAAACGAGGCCATTTCCGCCAACGTCACACGCCGCATTGCCCAGTGCTCAAAGACGTATGTGCGAACCTTGGAGAGCCTTGCTTCGGCAAACGTAAACCTTGGAGACCACTCGACATTTTTGCATTGCGGCTGCCCTCCTGTTCATTGGCCTAACCATTGGCAGGTTTCCTGTATGTCTAAATTGACACCTTGCACGGCTTCGTGTTCGGTGAACGTCTATGCGTGGATTGTCGTGTGAAAACTCTTATGTCTAGTTCGAGTTTTAGGGATACTCTTCCCTCCAAGCGATAGCTATGTTCTATAGTTACCGGCGATTGTTCAAGGGTCTTGCTTTGCTGGTTAGTACAGAGCGAAAAGCTGTCAGTTTGTTATTGTTTTTTTCTTGCTGTCAGTTAGTAGGGGGAAGAAAGCTGGCGATACGATATTCCTGCCTGAGTAGTGCATGAGCTATGCTCATCGGTCTAAGCCAGAGGCCTTTTACGGTAATACATGTGGATTATTATCTATGATGATTTAAAGGGCTAACGAGTGGGATTGAATAAGAGTGGTGCCCCTACAGAACCCAAGCTGGTCACGTAAAGTGGGATATCGTATGCACTACAAGCTCCCTTAAAGTGATCAAGTAGCAAGAGTGTCCAACTCATTTTTGGCATGGGTTGGATAGCTACGGGACGCACTGAGTGTGTCGTGGTCCGCTGAGATATATACAGACTGGTATTTTAAAAAGCGTTATTGAACGCAATGGAATTGATTTAAGAAACAGGTTTCTTTTCAAGTTACTGCTTTTCACAGAACAAATTACCTCTCTGTAAAATGCCTGCAGTTGTTATTTTATGGTTACAAAGGAACTTCAAATGTTAAAAACCAAACTCCAGATTTAAACAAAAGTAGACAATTACTACTGCGCATGTAGCAAAAAATGTTTCAATCACAATATTTAATAAGGAAACATTTTGTGAAATTTTTCGGGGTCAATAAGTTAAAAATATAGCAGAGAACAGATGCTATGCAGTTTCCAGTGCTACAGTGAAAGTCCCATTTAAGTGAACACTTTCAATAATTACGTTTATTTGCGAGTAAGGTGAGACAAAAAAGAAGTTTCGTGGTATTACACTTCGCTGATAGCTAGTATTACACTTATGCTGATCATAAGACACATTTGAGCTTGATTGGATCAATTTGGTAAAATTTTCAATTGGCAAGGCAGGCGTTTATCCTTTGCTTTTGCAAAGAATATCGAAGAAAAATCTGACCTTTGGTTCTGTGCAAATGGAGAGCTCGATGCAAATTTCTCCCTCAATACCAGTCCGTTGAAGGGCAAGGAAGAATTCATTCCTGGCTGACCTTGATCGCCAGTGCAGTGGACATAGGTTACAACCAAGTGTCCAGAGGCCTATAAAAATGCCACTCAGTTTTTTGTAATTTTTTCGGATATGCTGGATGATCTTCTATATTCCGAAGATGATTTTTGTTTAAAATTCAATTGGAGATTAAAATTTTTTCTCATTCTTTTAAATAGGCTTCAAGTTTCTTTTCGTTTTTTTTTTCATAAACGTATTGAAATCAGTATGTTGATTATTTTCGTGGAATGGTTGCCCGTTTTGAATTTATACTCACTGAGCTATGAATGGATCCCTTTTCATCTAAGTAGAACCTCTGCGATGAGAGTCCGTCACTATAACAATCAGATGAAACCAAATGGAAAAAAAACATGGGCGATAATGAAGAGTTGAACCTGCAAATTTTGATCCAAGCAGATGTAAGATCGAATCATCAGACAGGTAATACAAAACATTTGATTCCATTGTTTTTAGTTGCGAGAAGCAACTGACCTCTCATTGGCTGAGTTACAGTACTTATTGACCGCAACTCGAGGCTGAAGCATGGCTCAGATAGTCAAATTAGACCTTATTACATTTCTGTTTTTATTAACCCGACAAGCTCAGGTCATACTATCTTTTGTTGTGATGCATCATCTTCTTCGAGAACAAAAACTATGAAAATTGTAATAAAGTTTGTATTTACTTTGTGGCAACAGTTAGTCGTTGAAGTTCTTTCCCAGCGTCTTCTGAGAAGGGAGAAGGGACTGTGTCGTCTGATACTGTTAGACACATGTTGTCACCCAACTTTGAACAGATCTCTCCGTTCTGAAACAGACAACAACGCATCAGAGCTTTATGGAACGATATTTTTACACACGCATGGAAAATTATGATTACGAATCCTTAGGTAAAAGGTCTTTTTAAAACATAAACTGAGTTCAAAATTGACCTTCGCGTTTTTCTTTAAACAACAAGTAGGCAAACAACAACCAATATGATTCGTGGCGTATTAATCGAACAACATCTAGATTCAAGAGTTCACACGCAAGCCTTAAAATGTCTGAACTGATAACCGATCACGTACCTTTTTGACAGTCCATGTCTGTGACGCAGAGGCCTTGTTGCTGCTTAGCATCTTGTGAGCAGTGACCACTTCACTCCCAGCCACTGGGTTGTTTTGATTGTAGTTCAACTGCACCACCCGCGCTACACAATCACAGATCAAAGGTTTCAATCTCATTGTTTCAATGGGAACAATTTTCAATAAGAATGTTTTAATATCAGGAAAATTCAATAAATATTTTCAAATTATTTTGTTTGCACAATCTCAGTTGAGGAATGACAAAGTATATGGTCATAAGTAAAACAAAAACTCGTTCAACGGATTGAAATCAACGGCAATTGCTGGAAAAACAGAGGAAAATGATTACTTCTTCCACTATTTGCTAGGAAAAAGTAAAAAAAAAAACAGCTTATGATACTGTTCCAATAATTTTCAATTTATGATGTTTTTATATAAGTTCTTTTTTCATTTTACATAAGTATAAAAGTTGAATAAAAGTTCATTTGAATTTTTGAATAAACGATACATAGTTAGCTTTAATAATTTTGCTAGTTGCATAAGACAGATTAGGAATCTGATTCGGTTCCGCTCACTTATCGGCTCGCTGAACGGCTCTCCAAAAGACATCCAATAGTGATTGCTATATTCTAGCATCCCAACATTGGTCATCTCCTGTCCCATGCTGTCGAACAGCTTCTTAGCCTTACAGGAGAATGCACTGAATCTGGGATTTGCCAATCGAGAACTACTAGATGCGCAATGATCCAGAAACTAAAACACAAATTGAAATTTTAAAAAATTGCCGGGGAAACGGTTGTGACAAGAAACCAGAAAACTTCCATCTAATTAATCTAAAATGGCAAAAATTTCTAACATAAAAAAGAATCTGGTTATTGGGCAAGCACCACGGAATGTGACTAACAACCAGGCAGAAATTAAGAAAAAAAAGATTTTTTAAGCAGTTATAATGGGGTGATGGGAGTGTTATCACTACCATAAAGAAGCTATCGCAAAAAAAGTTCGAAAAGTTGTCAACTGGTATCTGCTGTAAAATTTGTGAAAAAAACTTTATTTGGATTTTGCGGGGCAAAAAACGAGCATGGTCTACAAACACAAAAAGTTTTTGTATATAATTAATCTAACTTTGCCAATGTCACCCTTGTAAAACGAGTGATCCTTGTCCAAGTCATAATACACGATCACGCCCTCGTCCAATTCATCGGCCCCATTTTCATGTATCGTCACTCTAAGTGACCCCCTCCCCAATAAAGAACCACTTGCGCCTCCCATTCCCCGAGAGAGCTCCTTAATGTGACTCATGCGGTGTTTGCTGCCTAGAGACATTTCCTCGTCGATGATTGGTTGAATTTCAGCCAAAGTGGAGTTGAGTTGTTTGATGAGTTTGGTCACGTAGTCTAGATAATCTTGCTCCTAAAATTAAAACATGGCACACGTGTTTTTTTTGCTTGAATACATCTCAAATAAAGATACTTTGATTTTCCCAGAAGTTCAAAGTCATCTTCCAAGGTCAATGCAACCATTAAAAAAGCCTGGCTAGATTTGCAGTCAGCAAGCAAACACTAGATTCTCATAGGAAACAGCCAAAACTCGCATTAAATCTTAAAAATATCCAATAAAATATATTTCAGTAAAAAAAACTTTATAAATCCTATGACAGCAAGTTTCAATTTCTGCTACGTGTCCCACCTTGGTGAGTGCATCGTACAATTCATCCTCGCCCATCGACAGGTACTTCTTCTCTGTCACTGTCCCCCTCCCTCTCTCCTCCCCCATCGCCAGTTCAATCTGCCCCACTAAAAACGCACTCCTCTTCTTCTCCCCCTTCAAGTACTTCACACACTTGAGAATGAAGTCACGTGATCCCAATCCACTGAATGAGTCACCTTTACTGACCCAAACAGGTCCGAACACCTGCAAGTACAGATCATGGAACCAAAAACAAGACAACAAATTTCATCAAAAGACAACCGACGAAATCGGCATTTGTATATCTTATTCTGCGCTAGTATATTAGTTCACATAAAGTAAGCTTATTTAAAGGGACTTTCTGAATATTTGTGCAATGATTACATAAGAAATGTGAGTTAAAACTACAAAATCGGAACCTGTCCAGGTCCTCTAGTATTGTAGAGTAGTTTGTCAATTGGGTTCAGTTGTTTCAGATTCTTGATCTCCTTGCCCTGAATGGTGAAAGCCTTCTGAGCAGGTCCTCCGAGGCCTAGCACTACCGAGGAGTAGTCCAGGAACTGCAATAGACTAAGTTGTTAGAAAACAAAAAATACTACAGGAGGGTGAACCCAACAAAAATACTACAGGAGGGAGAATCCAACAAAAATACTACAAGAGGGAGAACTCCACATTTGATCAATTTTGTCGAGAAAACAAACAAATAATTAAACGAACTTTCGATGATCCCCATCAGGAAAACCTTCTTTTTGAGACTGTAAATTACGTTTTAAACTGTACATCCGATTTTATTTCGGGTAAAAACACGAATATTTTCGTATCATGGGCGGATCTAGAATTGATTCGTAGGGCTAGGCGGATCTTTTCATTCATTTTTAGCTCCACCAAATGGATCACAAACAATAAAAACTATGATGACCACGATTTATCAAAATCTTTAGCACGGCAGGCAAATTTTTGTAGAAAAAAAAACAATTCAGGGCACTTGAAACGTCGCAAAAGCGTTTTAGGGTACTTCGCGCTCGCTCATCAAACAAAGTGTATATTGGCGCAAAAGTTACCGTAAGCAAAGTTTGGCTTAATCGGCCGAAAAAAGACGTCTTAAAATAGTATCAAAGTGTGTCGACCCACAGACCATCCAAAGGGTACCCTTTTGGTGGTCAGTGGGTCGAATCCCTGAGGGGGAGCGTCCACCCCCAAAATTCACCCCTGGTTCGCATGGTTCTGTTTCATAGCCAGTCGAGTTCTACCACTTATAACAACTCGGAGGCAGCGCTCAATATATTTTTGTGTAAGTTGAGTAACTTTTAGTAACTTATCACCTGTTGGAAATCTTCGGCATCAACCACAATCTCATTGTGTTCCAACCCTATCCCATTTCTGAGAACGAGCACTCGCTTCTGATTGGTCGAACTTAGCTGCTGAATTCTCTCTGGCACTCCTTCCTTTGAAGTGCGACCTCTCTTGTCGTCTTCAGGCAACTGGATTCCATTCATCGTCCACACTATGTTTCCCTTCAGTCTGGCACTCTCTGAAAATAACTGAGCCACAATATTTTTCAAACATTTGGGTACAGCACAGAAACTTTATCTACTATTGCCATTTAAGGGTCTCACCAGATCTCAAAAAAATTGCAATAGCTGACCCCAAAAAAGGCTGATAAAGCAAAATGGCTGTCTAAAAGTATTTCCAATTTTGTGGAAAACAAACTACTACTCACCATTGATATACTTATAAGGGTTCATGTAGGGCTCTCCCATTGAAATGTACAACTGAGGGCAGACGTTTTGCCCCTCACTCCCTTCTTGCAGTCTCTTAATATCCCCCCAATTAGTCACCCTCTGACCCCCCTTCACGAAGACTTTCCTAGCAGCCGAATTCAGATTAAGTCGTGCAGTGGAGAGAGATAGAAGATCGTTGAAATTAGAACACGAAATCAGTGCACTCGTTTCTCGGTCTCCATTGCGAAAAATCATAAGGCGGAGGGGGTGAAAGGGATCGCCTCCATCGACAACAACCGAAGGTGCACGGCGTGGGGATGTTGGCGATCGTGATTTGCTCTGCCGCGGTGATCCTAAAAATTTTGTAACATTCTACTAAACTATTTTGTTTAACGAAACCGCTGATTTAGAAACTGGTTTAAAAACAACAGAAAAGCTTTTCTTTTTAGTCTTGAGAGTGTACAACCTTCTTTATGAAAAAAAAACAAATGAAGAAAATTGCAAAAAAAATACAATTCGAGTTTGAAATAAACATTCTTTTGAAGTATGTTGAGCAAAAGTAGTTATCCAAGCGCATTCTCACAGTCAAGTTTTTAGGTGGTATCCATGTTCATCAGAATAACTTAATAAGTTAATGTTTACTTGAATTAGTTTTCCTTCGCCTCTGCTTTGGGTGCTGTCTTCCATCTTTGTAGGGGATACTGAAAGCAGAAATAAATCTATATTGAAAGCAGATGCCAAATTTTAGACGGAAATACCTTGTAACACAAAGTCTAGTAAAAATGTAGCTGTTTCCTGTACAATAGCACGAAGTTGATAGATCACACAGAGGCGAAGCTATCGAACAAATTAAATCTATCGAAATGAATTAGCCTAGATTTGAAACAAAAACGTCTCACGACAATAAAAAATTAAAGATAGCGTCGAAAAAAAAAATCAAGCGGTAACAAAGCTGATAACACCTTAGCAGAAACCGTTTGAGCTGAAAAAAAATGCATAGAATGTATTATGTCCCCCTCACCCTCAGCACACACACAATCTTTATTCGCGGGTCAAAAGAAACAATATGATGCCACTAAGCTGATAGAGAATTGGCCGAAACCTATCAAGCTGAAGAAAAAAACTGAAAAAAAAAATTCAAAAAAGAATTTGAGACTAGCAAAAAATTCATACGTCCCCCTCAACCTCAAAGCACACACGCAAAAAAAAAACTTTTTCGCTAGTCTAACGGCGCAAAATGAGGCCACTATGCCAATGAAACATTGGCCGAAACCAATTAAGTCGAAATAAAAAGAAAATTAAAAAAGCCGAAAAAATTCAGGACTAGTAAAAAGTTATCAAGCCCCCCTCACCCTCAAAACACTTACACAAACAAAAAATTGCTCGTTGAACAATATAACCCGATATGAGGCCACTAAGCCAATATAATTAACGCCGAAACCTAACAAGCCGAGAAAAAAAGAAAGAAAAAAAAAACGAAAATGAAATTTTAACAAATCGAGTAGGTAAAATTAAACCAACATAAAAACATATATATACGTATAGAACAGATATTTGAAATGCTAACATGCAAAAAAAAATTATTTTTCGCGGTAAACTTGTTATCTAACAGAGGCTTCCAAGAAATGAGCCTAGATGGAAAGAGAGAGTCCAGTGCCTAAAGTTGTTTACGGGGAAAAAAAGTCTAGTACCCGATTGCAATACCCTTGCTCATCGCAAGGGTAGTTAAAACAAGCTCTTTTGGCACGTTACTCAGAATTACACAGCAATTTTTGTGGTTAATATAAGGTCTTTTAAGAGAGCTGAGAAAAATATGTTTGGTTAAAAAAATCTTAGATCCGCCCCTGAAATATATTTAGAAATTACCATTTAAACAATACCCTTGCTTAGTGCAAGGGTGATAAAACTGAGAACATAAAACTAAGACTATGGACTATATTAAAAGCCCCATTTGGAAAATTTTTTCCTACTGCCCGGATCGAATATCCGACCTCGTGCTACAACCGTTACTGTCTATGTAAAATTGCCTTGTGGGCAGAAGTAAATGTGATTAAGCTACATATTGTTACTATTCACGAAAAGTTAGTTTTTTTGCGCGGGTTTGCTATTGTTATCTATCTCCATAATTATTTACCTATTCGGCTTTATTTCATCCATCAAAACTTTTTCGATTTTCTCCAAGTCCGAGTCTGATCCTGTGGTCTGTTCTATGTGAACTCTCCTTGTTCCTTGCGGAGAAAAAGGTTCCAACTGCTTCGAAATTTCGTCAGGCACTTCGAACTCTGTCGTCACAGTCTTCAGTTTCCTATAAACCAGTTGTTTTTGTTGGTCTAGTGAACAACAGTAAAGAAAATTCAACTTATTCCACTTCAACTTATTCAACTTATGAAGAAAAACTTGAACCATTCGAGAGGCAATCATCTCTATCCGAAATTGTTGCGGAAAATCAGACATTTCCCGAGCCAAAAAAATAAACAAAAGTACACCTGCAGATCTTAACCAGAATCACAACAGCTGATATTCGTTAAGAGCTAAATGATGGATAACGTAGAAGGGGAACTAAATTTTCTCGAGTGGGAAATGGACTTTCAAAATCAATTTTTACGTCAACCAAATTGATTTTTCGAGCTCTCCCTAATCACGATAAAGACCATATTTTAGCCCTTGTTGAAAGGTTTTGACCAAAAAATTGCGTAAAAACCGAAGAATGGATTTCCCAAAATAGTATGAAAGGGAGAACCCTTAGGTGCTCAACGCCTGTCAGGGCTCAAGCACCTAAGGGGGGGGGGGGGGGGGGGTCCACAAAACACACTCCACATTAGTTTGAAGAACGGCTAAACATCTGTGTGAGCTTAGGAATCATGGTTTTACATGGATAAACAAATTTCGAGTGGATCGGACGACATAACTGCTTGCTGACATTTCAAATTGGGACGGCAGAAAAAGAGATAAATTCTTTAGTATTGCATACCTGCGGTTTCGATTGCAGTTTACGGACGATCCCATTGTGTCTGATATTCTATGTTCGTATGGGGATCTAAAAACGAGACATATGAAACAAGTGATGCTAGCAGCTGAGCAATTAGCATAAAGTATCTAAGCCACAGATTTTAGGAAGTTTAAAAATATACCTCAAAACAAATAGCAAAAAAGCCAGGATTTCAATTTTTGAACCACTGTGATTATCTTGTCAAATTATCATTACTGATGAGACGATTTTGTTTGCAATTCAAACTCCGCTCACTGTAAATTTTGCAGCATTTAGAAAATGAAATCAATTTTCGAAAATGCCGTAGACCTTGAAAAACCCGTTTTCAGGCGCCTGTATCAACGCCTGTCCTTAATTACTGCCATTAGAAAAAAAAACAAGACTGCTGGTATATCACAGCAAATCATAAAACATTCCGACTTGCTTTGACTAAATTGGTATAGTTTTTGGAAAAGAAAAGTTTGATAAACTGTTTTTTTAGGACTGCCATTATCAAAAAATTAGGTATTGAAATTTGAATGGCAAATGGAATTAATATCAAAAATTATCAATGCAATGATTTTAATGGCGGGATTTTTCGACACGCATACACAGCTCCAGAACATGGCCAAATTGAGAACTTACGTTGGAAAAAAAACGAACAGAATACGAACAGATTTTTTTTTCAACTTGCAAAATAAACTCATGTTCAAAAAAGAGTCGAGAGACAGAGCCACGAGCATTAACACAGAGTCGAAGCTGCGCATCTCAAATAATAGCGAGATCACGACAAAAAGCAGTTCTATAAAGTGCAAACGAAAAAGTAGAAATAAACCTCGAATTAGTAAAAATTCAAATTCGTCTCTGATTCGAATTATGACCTAGAGATTATGAGCCTCACGCACTAGTCACTCAGCTACTGACGCTAATTTAATGAGAAACACTAGCCACAAATAAAGCAGAGAACATATGCTCTGCAATTTCTACTGCTAGAGTGAAATTTCCATAAAAGCGAACACTTTCAATGAACACTTTTATTAGCGAGTTAGGTTAGAAAAAAAAGAAGGTTATTACTAATACACTAACGCTCGCAAGCTCGGCAATGTAAATTACCTTTGATTTATCGAGCGGCTATTAAGCTGACATTACTTAGATAGACGCCCGTTGATGAGCTGAAAAGAAAAAAAACGCCACACACACAAATTTTGTTGTCATAACATAAATTTTTTGAGCGTTTCAGCTTTAAAACTTAAGTTTTATACCTTTTTATACGAAGTTTTGTACCCCATATCGCTGAAATACTCCAAATAACTTCAAACGTTGTGCTTCAACTATGCAAAATAAGCCGACTAAGCCAATAAAACATAAGTCGACGCCATGTTTTAAAATATAAAAAAAAAACAATTAAAAAAGTAAAAACTAACAATTCACTAACAGCACAAGTAAGCAATTATAACAAATTTAGTATAAATAAGGAGACAAAAACTTCATTCTATGAAAATTAAGACGACGAAATAAGCGCAGACAAACAAAAGTCTCACAATTCAATTTTTCCCAGAAAAAAAATCAATTTCATACATACCGAAAGAAACAAGGTCTGGCCGAGATTCGAACTCCGGATCTTAGGGTTTAAAAACGCCCGCATTAACTCTAGACCAAGTAGGAAGCATCATGTAAGTTGTTTGGGTACAATTATAAAGCAGTTAAATATCAAGACAAATATGTTTGGCATGACCTAATTAATCCGGATGTCAATTTTTGTAACAATCAGAAACTGTGAACAAAAAAATCACTTGTACAAAAATTGCAGGTGAAAACAATGCCCAAAGTTGTTGTTTTTATTTGAAAATCTTTCTCCTTGCGTGCGTACTTAAGAGCAGATTGATATCTTACGAATCTATTATTGTATCAATTAGATCAAAAAGCTTGTCTCATTTTAACTAAAAAAGATTTATGAGAATGATTATCAGACTGTTTGCTTGTTTTTCAAGAGAAAGAAAAAAAGAGCAGACAAACAAAAGTCCGATAATTCAATTTTTACAAGAAAAGTTTCGATTTCAAAAATACAGAAAAAGAAACAAAGTCTGGTCGAGATTCGAACTCGAGACCGTAGGGTTTTAAAACGCCCGAAGTACATCTGGACCAAGTAAGAAGCATCCTGTAGAATGTTTGAATATAATAATAAAGCAAGATGTTTTTTTACAGATATGCAACAAACAAATTTTGCGGAAAACTCTAAAATTCGATTACTAGAAACAAGTGAAAACCGTTCATGTGCACATACGATCTTCCGATCTTCTCAAATACTTTCAACGATCTCTGATTAAATTTGTTGTAACTTAGTATCATTACATATTTTAGGAATAAAAAAACTGCTTTCAAAACAAAATATTTGAGTTGGCATCTCGTCATAAAAATCGCAATAGGTTAAGAATTTAATTAATAAAATCTTGAATAATCTCAGCGAAATTTTTTTTCGAAAAGCTAAGAGAGTGACAGCTCAACATTTTACACAGAGAGAGGCGAAGCTAAGCATCTCACAACTTGCGATACAAAACAAGAAACCCGATGGACAAGTCATTACAATAGAATGTCAAATTCGCATTAGAAGAAAATTTAGCAAGTGGTAACAAAGCCGAAAACACTTAGCAGAAACCCCTTAAGCTGAAAAAAAAAATTCAACAAGAGTGGTAAAAACGTATTCATAAGTCTTCTCATTCTCAACACACACACGCCCGTCAAGAAAAACAATATTAGGTCACTATGTCGATATTAAATAGGCCTAAACCTATTAAGCCGGAAAAAAAAAGAAAATAGAAAAAAAACCGAAAAAAATTAAAGTTTAATAAAAAGTTAGTAAGTCCCCCTCACCCTCAAAACACACACACGCACAAATTTTACGCTCCTCGAACGACGCAATATGATGCCACTAAGCCCATATATTATAGGCCAAAACTCATCAAGCCAAAAAAAGGAAGAAAAAAAACAATAAATTAAAATTTTTAACAAATCGAGTTGGTAAAATTATGAACGACAAAAAATTGTAATAGGACAGATATTCAAAATCCCACTAAGCATATATCAACAATATATCTGTAGGGGTAAATTGGTTGCTATGAGGCTTCAAGAAAGTGAGTCCAGATGAAAATAGTCCTGTGAACAAAGTACCCGATTGCAATACCCTTGCTCATCGCAAGTGTAAAAAAGCATCAAAGATAGAATACAGGAAAATATAGATCTCGAACAGTGCACTTTGTCAGGAATGAACTTTTGACTGTATGAAAATAATTTTGACAGTTCTGCTGCAGGTTCGGGCGGTCTAGGTGTATAAAATTTCAGAAAAACAGGCGTTGAAATTGTACAGGATAGTAATTTGACTATCAAAATATGGAAAATAGTTTTGCATCGATTTAAAACAATTGACACTATCAAATAGCGTCAAAAAGGTCTGTTATGCTGATTCAACAAAATACCCGCAAGTAAGGCTGGTTTTACTATTGAGTGGTCAGGGTGTAAATGTTTTGGATCGAACTTTTTTTTTCTTAAATTTTTGTAACTAATTTTGTAAACCTTTTTAATGAATGTTACATCAGATGATCAGAAAGTTTGCTTTATAGTTCACTCTTTGCCTATCCTTGCTTAACAATAGCTAGTTATTTTAACTTATCTTTCATTTTGTAGTCCATAAACTTAGTATTACTTTCTATAACAATGCTATCATAAAAAGAACCGATTTTATTTAGTAAAAAGCAGCTCAATAAAGTGAAATCAGAACCCACGCGGACGCTTCCAAAGTCAAGCACTAGCCAGAAAAAAAATCAGAGAAAAGATGCTATGAAATTTCCAAATATATTAAAAGTGCCACCAATTGAGTAGCTTTATTTAGGAGTTAGATTGGAAAAAAGTTAAGTCATGCTAATACACTACCTCCTACAACTGGCAAGTTTAAATATTCAATTTGGTTTCAAGGCACCTTCTTCGAGAAATATAATGTGTTTTTCGTTCGCATAAACCTAAATTTCAATCACCAGCAAAACAAACTGGACACTCATCAATTCGGTAGGTGGCAGAAACGAACACAATATTCGGTGGACCGAATATGGAAGAAATGCTGTAGAATTGCAAGCTATTTCACGTAATGTTCACTTTTTGGAAAAAATGTAGTAATTTTGCTAGCTATTCCCCGATTTGCTCACAATTTTGATCATCTTGTACTGCTCTGATAACTTATTTTGATGGAATTGAATTTTTTCATGCCAGTAAATCATTGTTCCGACTTTCGATACGAAAGTAACGGAAGATTTGTGCTCGGGGTAGGTTTTTTTTCTTCAGACAAATTTCGACTTTTTAACTAGCCATTTTTGACCGAATTTTTTATATCATTCAAAAGGTATTGTTGTCCTGAGCTTAAATTTGAAAAGATATTTTACCTGTGATCGTTTTTCGTAAATTTATGGGGGTTTAAAGATTGCCATTTTGCCCAATTTGGGACAATTAACGCGCGATATCAATCGCGCTATTAATGCGTAAGCAGAGATTTAATCCCTCTTAGAAATTGTTCCAAATTGGTTGAAAGAAGTCAATTTGCCATAATTGATTTGTTACAAAGAGAAAAATCTATCCTTTTGTACTTTGGATGGCGTGTGGGGGTGATGATTTTCAAAGAAAATTTCAAATTTTAGAAGAAAAAAAATTTCATTTCATTTTACTACATTTAATTTTTTTATGTTATTACTGCTCCAAAAAACTGAAAAGGCAATCGGAACATTCAAGGCTTCGCCTTGATACGAGCAGTCTTGTTTGATTTTGAAATCAATTGAAAAATTAGGTCAAATTCTTTTTATCTGAATGAACACCTAATTTATAGCTACGCATCACCACTTTCGTTTGCCATGACAAAATCTTTAAACAAACAAGACTGCTCGTATCATGGCAAAGCCCTGAATGTTCCGACTGCCTTTTAAGGTTTATGGAGCAGTAATAACATTAAAATAATAAATTAATTAAACAAAATGAAATTTTTTTTTCTAAAATTTGAAATTTTTTATGAAAATCATCCCCCCACGCCA